CCCCAAAACCCCAAAACCCCAAAACCCCAAAACCCCTTCAAAAAAAATCAAATAAAACTCCTCAAAACTCTAAAATCTCACATTAAGTCCCTCTTTCACCCCTCCTCTCCCCATTGGGTGTCTCCAAAGGGTGACTTCTCCTATACTCACACACAAATCTCCCCAAATGTGCTTCCTCCGTATCCTCCGGGTCTCTTCTGACCTGCTCCACTGAAGAGACCATGACCAGAACGGGGTCGACTAGTCAGAAGATTACTGACAGCAGCAGGGCGATTGTTGGGTAGTGGTTCTGGGATTCTGATAGGTTGTGGATGAAGATGAACTGGCCGAGGGAGAAGGAGAGCAAGCAGAGAGGGAGGAGGGTAGTGAAGGTGACGGTGAGGTGGGAGTCTAGCTCTTTGGGTCTCTTGCAGGATCTGAGTAGGAGGTATTTTTCAATCCAGTAGGTGTATAGTGTGCAGAGGAAGGAGAATATGGGGAGTATCGGGATTAATGGAGTGTAGAAGCAGGTGATTAGTAGGATTGACATTGATAGTCCGTAATAATGAGGGATTTCCCAATCGATTCCTTCGCTCATTTCATTAGCTTCTCTTTGGGTTTTCATGCTTTTCTCTCCTTTTCTTTCTTCATACCAATATCTAAACTTTCTCCAATATTTGACTGGATCAAATAAGCACACTGTTGGGGAGATGAAACTTGTGGATAAGATTAGAAAAATATCAATAGCAAGTCCTTTTCTACCAAACCAATGGTGTTTTCCAAAGTTAACAAAAAATGGAGTAAACCCTGAGTTTATAGTCATTCAGATAGCCAATTTCAAGGAGATAGACGCATTATATTTTGTGTGGGTTTCATGTCTTTCAAACCCTGAAAGATAAACGACAAGATGAAACAAGATTGTATTGTTAACAGAAATGATAATAGATGACCCAAAAGATATCAAAATTATTATCAATGTCGTAGTAGACTCATTATTTTCTTCCTTTGATACATCATCATCAAGATCATTCCTTAATATAGACAACGAAAGATTAAGCATAAATACTATTGCGATACAAAATATAGCTACTACATACGTTCAGATACTTCTCCAAAATCTTTGTGATGATCTGACTGATAAATTTTCCCAGTATATATTAGTCGGCTCACTTGCTCTTTCTATATGAATTCTTTGTCTTCCCCACCATTTATCATCTTTTAAACGCTGAGATTTAACTCTGAGGCATGTAAAGACTACAAAACTCCATACTTTGGCTAAAATAGACACCATGAACTTATTGATCAAATTTTGAGGGTCAGCTTGGTTGTTAAAGATAACAAAGGCTTTTCCAGTAAATTTCTCCTGTTTCTCATGTGTGAAGACTTTCCTCCTTGCCTCTTCAACCTTCTGCTGGCTTCTGAGAAGGTCATCCCTGATATCTTCTTTAGTAATTTTATCATTGGTAGAGTATAACAACTCGTAATTATGAAACTTTCTCTGAAGAGATATAATTTTCTTAATTTCTTTGGTTTCCTTCTCAATATCATAACAGAAGATGATTTCTCTGATGTGTTCCTGATCTGAATCAATGTGCTTCAGAATGAAATCCTGAAGCTCCTCTTTAGAAGCATCCTGAGGGATCTGAGAAATCATTACAGCAAAATCAGATGGTGAAACAACCTCCTTGTCTATTTGGGCAAGATACTTTGATTGAACTCTTTGAAAGATGATGAATGTACCAAATAGCACACAAATTAATATAGTTGTTAGGATTATCATAATGTTGACATCTCCAGTTTCATATTCTTCACTATTTTTGCCATTATTCCCGATAGAAAGTTTGGTAGCAAACGAAACACTATTGCCTGATTCTAGCCATTCGTCTCCATTATGAGGTGTGAAATAAAGTATTCATCCAGGAACAGATACAAAGAAGATGATTATTAGGTATAATAGTCCAATATATTTATTTAAAGAAGAAATGAAGAGGGAATCCACACCCTAGGTTCTTTAAATCTTTAATACTGCATCATAAAGGATACAATGAAGACGCATCTATTTTGGAACATTCTGATCGCTCAGAATTGATTTTACTATCTTCAAGTCATGATTTCCTTAGGCAATTGTTATGCATCAACCTAACTCTTTGAGAATTATAATGATCTCTAGCTTTTTGAAAATCAGGTGGAATTATATCTAACCTATCTGATTTCTGTAATAGCTCCATGTTAAAGTCTGAATCAGTGTATTTTGACTCCTCGTTTCTCTTAGATCCTTCTGGTTTAATTTCTAAAGTAATTTTTTAATTTCCCCAAATACCAAGTTAAAATTACAGTTAGTCTAACTGTTAGATACTATAAAAGCTTCTAGAACTATATCAAGATACCTAAAATAGCGAGGTATGATCAAAGCTGAGAACCAAATTCAGACTTTCATGATCAACACTTTCAGCTCTTTCTAGCATCTTACCTTTGGGAAGTTGCTCATAGCTATCCTTATTCAGGCTTCGATCCATACTCCCTTCATAATTCTCTGAAGAAGATGCTATATCTAATTAAGAGAGGCTATTAAGGAGGAGATAACGTCAGTATATGTTTGGGAAAATGCACAATGTTAAACCAGCTTCGTTTATAGAAAAGCTAGCTTAATTTTTTGACTGAACCTTGTTTCTTACATTCTCTATCTTCGCTTTCACTTGCTTCATCGCTATTGTTGTTGTCATCACTATTACTGCTTTCTCTTTCAGATGACATCTTTTGTTAAATTTAAAAATTGAATTCAACGAAATAATTATATATTGGGGTTTTGGGGTTTTGGGGTTTTGGGG